CTAATACTAATTAAGACTGTAAAGAAAAAATGTATCCTTATGCAGAGTCGAAAATGTGTCTGAGCAAAGTTAAGTTGGGGACCCATGGGTATTTCCTATCACCATCCAAGGTCAGCCTCTAATATTTCACTAAAACCTGGCTTTCTAGAAAATCTGATCTGGTAAGTTTATCCTGCTATAGCTTCAATATCCCTACATAAAAGTTTGAGAGGATCTCCTTAATTATTAATTCCTCTGTTCAAAATATCTAGTATTATACAGGTGATAAATATAGGAATGGATTTTATTGGCTCTGTGATAATAAGCACCATTGTTATCTTAAGTGATATCACACTGTGGGAGAGCTACATGGGAAGAATAGTAGCTTTCAGATGTCCTCTGATGCTGCTAAAGTCACGTCTTAGGCAAGCACCCATTTTACCTATCTGCTTCTCTGCCTATAATGCCAATACTTCTCCAGAGTTCTGCAAATCTAGTCTGTGGAGCCTCTTTCCAGGGTTAACTAGAGCTGAGCTTTCAGGCTGAGCTCAGAAGCAAGCAGTTTCTAAAGCCTGTCATGAGAGGTCCAGTCTAGTCATTTAGTAGACAGACAAGAGTAAGCCAGACTGTCAGTTTTCATCTGATGGGTCAATAGCATTTCTCTTTAGGAGTATAACTGTGCCTACCTTGGGTGTAGACAAGAGTAAGTGCTCTTCTCCCACCAAGTGGATCCTGGGGATAGAACTCAGATTGTCAGCCTTGGCAGCTAGTGTCTTTACCTACTGACTTATCTCACAAAGCCACATGTGAATTTTATGACACCTAGCATTATCTAAATAGGCATAATGAAGAACAATATTTTATTTTAATAAAAGAACACTTCTTATTTCACAAGTAACTTTTCAGATCAATAAGTTGTTTGAAACAGAGGCTTAAAGTGGATGGCATCTCACTATCTACCTGGGCATTGTATTTGGGACTTCTTATGCACTGAGTTATTGAAATCTTCCATCTATAGTAACATAGATATAGAAGGAAAGACAATGCATATGACATTATAATTGTGTTATGTTTACATTCAGATGACTTTGAGAGAAGTCATCCTCTGGCCTGTCCTTCCCTAGTTCTTCACATTTCTCGTGTTCTTCTAAGGTCTCCAAAGACTGGCAAGCCCAGAATACAAAGCTCCTCTAAAAAGCAAGGCAAAGCATTGAGACATTGAACATAGGGATAGAAACAGAGTTCATCTTCTTAACTAAAACAATAAAAGGCTAAAAAGGGTTTCTTCAGCTTACCTCTGTTCTTGTATTTGAATTTCCTAATATTCTATGTGTTGTCTTCTAGATCATAATAGCTCTGTTTACAAAGGCCCAAATCTAACCACTGCTCTCAAATCAAGTGAAAATTATATGCCTACAATGTAGACACTTATCCTTTTAGAAGTTATGGGAATAACCTTATTTTTATACAAGGATTCATTTAAATGTTGAATTAGAACTATCATTGCCCTTCTAAGTTTCCATAATTGATAAACAATTTTAAGTGCTATCAACCATAATCAAACAACCCTGATTCTGAGTACATTCACTATAACATATTTCCCTCTCAAACACTTTAAAGATTAATTGGTTAGCTTGCTGTAGTTTTGTTTATTTTTGTCATTTAAATTATTTTATACAGAGTTGAGTACAAGGTAAAATAGAATCAAGAAAAATGAAATTCTTCCTCTTTAATTTTGTTTTTCTTAGAATAAATTACATTTTTTTTGTTTCACAATTTCATCCTAAGACCACATTTGGCTTTTTCAGTGCCTCTAGATTTAACTGAGCCCAGTATCAACTCAGGTCATCCATGGTGTCTATAACTTCAGAGATGAGAAGGTTGTTTCAAGAGCAAAGGGTGACCACTATGGTGGTTCACTGCAGTTTGAATTTGGTGTTAATAAAACTGTTCAGCCAGATGAAGAATCAGTATTCTTGTCTCTTGTCTACAGTGGGAAGTGGCTCTACACACCTATGCAAGGAATTGCTTACCCAGGAGGAATGTGCCAGGCCCTTCGTTCATGCAGCATTGTTAAGGTAGACCTAAAACATTCCTAAAAGTGTACCATTTGCCCAAATATTTAAGTTAATTTTTTATATCTATTTGAAACACATTGAAAAGCCATGTGTGATCTGTGTTGGACCTATATTTTCCAAGGTATGTCATGAAGAGACCTATATTCCCTTCAGTAAATGAAAATCACAAATGTGTCTTGTGAAAAACTGTAGGTGAATAATGAAGGTAAAACACAGTTCAAAGCTCAGAAGGACAGGTATGAAACCCCCACAGCATATCCCATAGCTGTAAAACTCTTTAATGTATTAAATATAACTATTTATAAAGACAAGTAAGGTCCATTACGTTTAGGTGGATTTAATCATTATAATTGTTTTTAAACTAAAATAAACAAGTATAAAAGCCACTTAATGTGTCACATCGAGACAGCCTTGAAAATTATGTTCAGCAAGTAGAGGACCTATGAGCTGTTGTCTCTCCTTGCTCATATGACCTTTCTCCAAGGCTCACAGCTTCCAGGAAATGCTATCCATGTAACTCTGTTGGAGACATAGTTGAAAACATGAATGTTTGTATTTATTTCCTTGCTATTTATTTCCCCAGCTTAGTGTTATTGGGAGCCAACCTTAAAATAGCAAGTATTTATTCAAGTACTCTCACCAACTGGTTATTTTATAATCACTTTTATGACTATAGATTTGCCTTTAGTATCTGAATGACATAAGATCTGCCTACAAAGTCAATTTACCCCCAAATGAAGCTATTACTATTTCAATTATCATATTTTAGCCAAACCAAGAAACCTTTGAAGCTTCATATGAGCAAAATGAAATGAACAAATTAAATTTATCATTCTGGATGGCCTATCCCTCTTTGGGTTTGATTTTCTATGAATGTATAAGTTAAAGCATGAACAAGGTCTATGAGGCAAGACAACAACCAATTCTGCCATGGATTTTATATTTCTGACTTCCAGAGGTTTCTCATGACAGAAACTCCCTCCACAAGATTATATAGCATTATTGCTCAATATGGCAGGACAGATGAAAAACAAGAACACCAAACCCCTCATATCTGGAATATCTAGTACAGAGAAGACACCAACACCATTCATAAAATTGGGTGGGGCATTTGTCTTAAGTCCCCGTGGGATTCAGTAACAAAATATCAGAAACTGAGTAGGTTATAAGCCACAGAAATGTATTTCTCACAATTCTAAAAGCTGAGAAGTCCAAGGACCTGACACATTTGTAACTGGCAAGGGTCTACCTCATGGCTTAAGATTGACACATTCTCATTGTGTATCCCATAATAGAGTAGAGAGAGAAGTTTCTCCAGAGTCTATTTGGATAGGATATTGTTACCACTGATGGGAAAATGGCCCCTTGGTCTGAACATTGCAGTCCTTGTGGCTTAAGGCTTCAAAACACAAGTTTTGGAAGGACACAGCAGTGAGACATAGTAACGTTAATTAATGGATTTTAGCTGTTTGGAAAAATGAGTCTCTGCCAATAAAACAAATAAGAGTATGCTGTACACCAAAAAGTTACAAAGTTAGAAATATATAAAAAGTCATTTGTCCAATTTCATTATAAATTATAGTCATGGACTGAAGTATAGATGAGGTATACTGAAGTCTACCCCTTCCCAAATCCATACTAACTAACAAAGATTTAGAAACTGAGCCTTACAACCACTAATTTAAAGTGATACCTATGTACTACTTTGGGGTCAATTATAGACATCTCATATGGCTTTTTTTTCAATCAGGATCTTCTACCAGATGTAAATATAATTGGGAACAGAATGGCACATCAGTTGGGACATAGCCTGGGCATGCAACATGATGAATTTCCATGCACCTGTCCTGTGGGAAAATGTGTGATGGGTGGTAGTGGAAGGTGAGGCTCTGATAATATACATAATAAATTTATTTTATATATATTTGTATTTTGAAAAAAATTCATATAATATATTCTGATCATACTTTCGCTTCCCCCAACTCCTCCCTCTTTCTCCCCACCCACAAAACTCTACCCCCTTTCTTTCTCTCTCTCTTTAGAAGATAAACTGGCAAAAAAAAAAAAAACAGAATAAAACAAACAAACAAAAAAACAAAGTAAAAACACAAGAAACACACACACAAAAACAAAAGAAAATCCCCAAACCCATTAAAACACAAAATTAGAAATCATGATATCCCAACAAAAGAACAGTAAAGCAAAAAGTGCTCAATCAAAGTCAGTAAGACAAGAGTCTACAAATCTACCACTGAGTTTGTTTTCTGTTGGCCATTTGCTTCTGGGCATAGGGTCAACCTTTAAGTGTGGTTAATGTACCCAGTAAGACTACTTTGGAGAAAACTCATTTTTCTTTGTAAAGTAGATGTCAATGACAGGTTGCTCAACAATATAGAGTGAGTGGCTTATCATGTGTTCCGGCCTCAGTCCTGTGCATCTGTGGACTCCTTTGTGGCAGGAAAAGTAAGAATATTGTCTGTTAATGCCAGGGGTTTCTCATGGATGTTAATTAATTAAATGATACAGTGTTGGGCTGGAAAGATGGCTCAGTGGCTCAGAGCACATACTGCTTTTGCAGAGGTCCTACGTTTAGTAGCAGCCACGTTGGGAAGCTCACAACCACTTGTAACTCCAGCTCCAGGGAGTCTGATTCCCTCTTCTGGCCTCAGTGGGTATCTGTAGACATACCCACACATCAACACACACAATTATACATAATTTTAAAACAAATATTTTTAAAATGATTAAAGTTTGAAATGCAGTGACGGTCACAGAGTAGAACTCAGTAACTGATACCAAACTAATAATATTCTCAAGGATATACCAACCTCACTTAATGGACTCAACTCTCTAGAAGTCCTTTGTATTCAGTCATTGAAGGGGATCAAGCCAAATGAAGAAAGAGGGAATGAAGTGTTAGCTTAAAGAGAGGTAGTGAGAAGTCATAAGGATGTTTCTAATATTATTAAGGAGTTGAGTTCCACAAGTATAATAGAGACCTACTCCATATCAGGTACTGTGTTAACTCGTGGTTATTTTTAAAGAACTGAACATAATGCCCTCCTTGACTTGTCGAGAAGTTTATGATCTTTCAGAGATGGTAAATCAGATTTATGTCACTATGTGGTTATATTACAGAGGGCACATTAGGGGCTGGAGAGATGGCTCAGTTGTTAAAGAGCACTTGTTGCTATTACAGAGGATTGGGGTTCAATTGCCAGCATCTACATGAAGACTTACAATCGTCTTTAGCTCTAGTTCCGGGGCATCCAACACCCCCACCTAGCCTTTGCAGACACTGCACACATGGTCCATAGATATACAGAAAGACAGACAAAACACCCATAACATAAAAATAAAAATAATATTTTTTAAATAAGAGGCACACATTAGAGGGTAAATGGAAGCAGGAAGCACAGACAACCAATTGTTGGTTTCAGGAAGGATTTGTCAGAAGACACAAAGCCCAAGTTTTTCACTGAAATGGCATTTCTTAGTTGTTTCTGGAACACAACTGGTAAGTAACAAGGAGCTAGGCCATGGCTCTGCTCTCACAGTTAGCATTTGCATTTCTTTTCCAACTCCTCATTAAATTTTTATAGCGTCCTTCATGCTATAATCCTTTATTTTTACCTCATCTCATCTCTAGCATCCCTGGAATAAAATTCAGTAAATGCAGCCAAGCCCAATACCAGCAATATCTGAAGGATCAGAAACCAGCATGCATACTCAACAATCCACTTCCTACTAACTTAATTGATTATCCATTTTGTGGGAACAAGAAGGTAGACGAAGGAGAAGAGTGTGACTGTGGACCAGTTCAGGTATTTGCAAATGATATCATCTTTAACAACCCTGAGCACAGGGTTGGTGCTCCGTTGGAATCATAGCAGATGATCATGTTCTCAGTGAAGCCTTAGGAAGCTGTTTTTATTATCTATTTGGGGACTGACTGTTGAGGCAACCTCCTTTCAAGCCTTCTTAGGAAATCTCAAGTCACATGTGATGACCTTGCTGGAGACCAGCAGCATTCCATTTGCCTAGCTTATATGTTAACTGCCTTGTTTTGTGAGAAATATCCTTAAGTCTGACAGTAGGTAGTGGCCATTCTACAAAACATCACCTCGTCAGTCAAGTTTTACTTAGAGCCTTGGGAAGCTTGTCTATCTCATGGCTGTGCAGTGTTGTAATTATAGAAAATTCTCTTTTAATAGAGGGACAAAAGGCCTTCAAATTTTTCACATACTTATTGAAGTTTGGAGCATTTAGAAAAAGCCTTGGAGGCAAATTTTCAAGTAATTCTTAGTCTGCTTTTAGAAGCTCATCGAATAAATATTCATCCTCCACTACTGTCACCTCAAATGAACAGGGGTGTGTAAACCTCTGGGGATGTGTTAAAATATGAAGCGAGTAGTTCTCTAGTGCAGCTTTATTTTACATCCCCACCAGCCTTCTGAGCCTGCACGCTGCAGACAACGTTTTCCACGTTAGCTCTAGACACTGCGCAGTTCAAAGTGCTGCAATGGGGCACCAATCAAGAGACACTGTCGTGAGGGTGGGGCCGACCTCCCCAGAGAACTTGAGAACTGATCTTCAATGTCTCAGATGAACGGAAAGAAAAGCTGCTGGCTTTGGATAGATCCCCTGGCCCCAGGAATGTTTTGGAATATTCCACAGCTCTGTTCTAATGTATAGAGGCCTTCACTAATGAGATGTAGACAGATAACTGTCTCTGAAGTTTTAATTTTGTCCAAGAAGGCTGGGCACTCACTAGGTGTGACTGTTTTATTGTTATGATATAATAATA